CCCCAAAACCCCAAAACCCCAAAACCCCAAAACCCCAAGAAAAGAAAATAGAGTACAATTGATAGTTTAGAAATGATCTAACCTTATTATATGAAATTTATAAGTTGTATAATATTAAAAAAATAAAGCTATCAACATGGAGCAAATGGGTTAAAATCTTTTGATGAATATGGTCATTAGACCTCCAAGAAGTGCTTATCCTGATGACTCTCATGAGAATGACAGAGTGCTAACTTTGAAAAACGGTATGAAAGTTGTAAAGAAGGTATTTACAATCACAAATCCAAGCGGTTAAAAATTAAGCTGCTCTATGTACGAGAGAGCTGCTGAATAAAGGCCAGCTGCTTAAATGCCTTGTGTGATCTATTTACATGGTAATTCTGGTAACAAGAATGAAGGAACTGCTTATGTTGAGTTATTACAAGAAGCATGCACCAATCTATTAGCATTTGACTTTAGTGGATGTGGTAATTCTGAAGGGGAGTGGGTAACTTTAGGATGGAAAGAAAAGGACGACTTAGCTAGTGTCATTTCTTATCTTAAGGAGCTAGGTACAGTTTCTAAAATTGGTCTCTGGGGAAGAAGTATGGGTGCTGCTACATCTATTATGTATACTGCTGAGAATAATGATAAGATATCATGCTTAATTTTAGATTCAGGTTTCTCATCCTTCTAATCTATTGTTAACCACCTAGCTTAGGAACAATTTGGCCTCCCTATTTAGTTGGTAGATATGATGATGGTAGGAGTGGGTATTCAAGTTGCATAAAAGACTGGTGGAATGAAATTGGAAGATTTAAAACCGATCAAGCATGTGCCTAATTGCAAGGTTCCAGCACTCTTCATTCATGGAATAGATGATGATTTCGTAAAGATGTCTCATTCAGAAGAAAATTATGAAGCTTATGGTGGTGAAATTAAGGAAGTTCAATACTGCGACGGAGAACACAATAGTGAAAGACCTTAAGAGACATTGTAATATGCAGTTAACTTTGCAAAGAAGCATTTGCTAAGTTGAAAATAAACACTAATAGCTCATTAATATCATGATTAAATTATTTTCTATCTATCCTTCCTCAAATAATAATGATCACAGCTCGGGGTTTTGGGGTTTTGGGGTTTTGGGGTTTTGGGG